GCGGGCGGCCGGGCAGATAGAGGCCTGGTGCTGAGGCCCACGCGTGTGGAAGGTTTTGGGAGCAGCCACCCGCTATCCGTGCTTCGCCTCTATGAGCTCGGCGCCCGGGGTGCGGGATGAGCGGGGCGGGGGCCGCGCTGGGGGCGGGCGCTCACATGCTCCAGGAAGCAGGCACCCAGCTCGCTCAGGTGCGGACGCTCGCGGTTGAACCTCTGCTCCAGCGCCTTCACGAAGACCTTCTGGCAGCGGTAGATGTCCTCGATGTTCCCGAAGATGGTGCGCAGCTGCTCCTCGCTGAACATGTCTGCGCGCTTGCGGCACTGCCGGACGTAGCCCTGAGGGGCCGACACGGTCAGGCCTGCCCCGACCCGGTCCCTTGCGCCCCCTACCCCAGGCCGGGCCTCACCTCGCAGATGTCGCGCAAGTGCTTGATGTAGTCTCGCTCGGTGCTGAGGATCTCGTTGATGACGTTGGTCCGCATCTGGTCCTTGCTGCTCTGCGCCTCTGCCCCGCAGTCCTCCGCCCCGCGGTCCCCGGCCCGAGGAGCCTCGTCGTCCGCGGGCTCGTCCTGGTTCACCCGCAGCTGCAGGCCATGCGCGGCTGGTCAGTGCCCCGCATCCCTCGGAGCAGCGCTCTGCGCCATAGCGGCGGGAACAGGGTTTCGGAGGCCCCGCAAGGTGCACCGGAAGCGAGGCAGAGGGCTGGCCGGCCACCTCCCCCTACCACGCCACCCCCGCAAGTCCTGAACCGAGGGATGGCGGCTCCGACGTCCGCAGCCGCTGTCAGTGTGATCTGAACACCACCCTGCCCTCCTTCCTAGACCCTCTTGTGCCGGGCACAGAGCCTGCAGCGCTCCCTGCAATTTCTGAACCAGTGCCTGCTCCTGCCGGCCCCCCGTGGGCTGAAGCAGGGGGATGGGTGGCGCACTCCACTGGCTAACTTATAACTTGGGGTAAGGCTTAGGGTGCGGAGTATACAGTATCCTAGGGGGCCTGGAACAGGAGGAGCATCTGAACACCAGGACCTGAGACCTCCGGGTGGACGGCCCTCAGCTTGGACGCCCTCAGCCAGGCCTTTTGGAGACTACACCTGGATTCCTTCCTTGAAGACCAGAGACCCCCTTAGATGGAATCCAGGACCCCTCTCTGCGATCTCCAGGGCTAATAACTTTTCCGTGCTTCAACTTCCTCAGGTGTAAGTCATGGTTCCCACTCCAGAGGCCGTGGGTCTGAGCAGTCCCCTGTGCGATGAGCAGTCCCCTATCTGTGCTCTTCAGGGCTTGGGAAATGTCTAGCTCCCGGAGCTGTAGGGGTATGGCAGAGGGCAGCCTAGTGTCTGCACACACTCCTTCCGGAACTGCTCTCCTCTCTGGCCCCTGAGGGCTGGCCAGAAAAGGGCTGGGAGCAGAAGTAGTGACTCTCCAGGAGGAGGAAGGCTGTAACACTGCGCCCCCACAGCACCACCTAGCACTCTACACCAAGACCACGCCCAGCACCTCGGATACCAGAGCTGCTCTGGGCTTGGATTGCTCTGCAGAACCAGGGCCCAATGGGGGAGAAGCCCAGGCTGGAACCATACCCGAACGAAGCTGGCTGGAAACCAGCCCTCGCCATCGGCGACCCGGCCCCACCACCACTCTCTGTTGGTGGCATCCATCACTTCAATGACGTCCCCAGCTTTGAAGCCCAGCTCCTGGTCGTCCATTGTGACATGGTCCCAGAGTGCTTCAGCGCAGACCACACTGCCATCGCTGATGAGCTGCGGAGAGAGCCACAGGTAGGCAGGTTGGTTGGGGAGGCTGCCTTGGCCTGCCTACCCTCTGTCCCCACCTCTCAGCAGCCCTGGGGAGAGAGGATCCTGACTTCACAGAGGAGCCACAAAGCCTGCTTCTGGCAGGAGCAGGGCTTTCCTGGGGCAGGGGCTGTGTTCTGGGCATGTCTAGATTATCAAGGCTCAGTGACAGAGCCAGAGATGCACTGACCACAGAATCTGAGCCTGTCACTGGGACTGCCAACTGCTCCCTGTTAGGCTTTCCCAACCCAGCATTCCTGGGGGCTGCAAAGCTGCTGGAGAGAGGGGCTGGGGGCTGCAAGGCTGCACGAGAAAGGGGGCTGGTGCCCTCCTGTGGGCTTCTTGTGGATGAGCACCAACCATAATGCCCCTTCATCCAGGTTGATAGTGCCCTGCCATTGCAGTGGCTGCAGCTTGTTTGCTGTGTTTTGTTCAACGCTTGCCGAACCAGCCTCATGGCACCCCTGCTCCCACCTGAGATGCCAGCACCAGCTGAGCAATGCCCCTTCTCAGAGCTCTTGATCCCAGGCCGTGGGATCCTGTGTGAGTTATTTCAACCTACTCCCTTTATTTCGAAAGTTCTAGAAGTAGGAGCGTATTGCCACTGCTACCACTGTGATAAGCACTTCGGGACTGCTCTTGCACAGTCAACCGCATGATACCGAGCCGACCATTCTTCATATGCTTCCCTCTGCTCAAGTAACTGGTGTGGTGCCTTGCTCCAGAGTGGTGTGGACTGAGACACTGGTAGCCACGCTCCCCTGCCCCTCTCAGGCAGCCCACACACACGGCGCTCCTTCTGGCTGACTCGAGTTTTCTCCTAACATGGGATCTGTTTCTGCTCCCTGAATGTGAGCAGCTCCAGGGGCTTAGGGCAGGAGAAGAGGGGTGGGCCAGAGCTGCATGGGAGGTCCATGCCCCTCCCTGCTGGGACCAGGTGTTGGCACCTGGCTAGGCAGTCAAGGACGAGAGTGTCACAAATAGGCCCTCTTCACTGACCACACCTCCCCTGAGCTGCTGCTACCCCAGGTGAGCCCTCCCTTCACTTCACTGGGTTCTCCCTGAGCACTGTGTGAATCCCCACCTCAACATGGAAACCAAGAGTGGGGCCAGTCCTGTGTCCCAGCCACTAAGAGGCCTCTGCCCGCATGGGCAGAGTGAGGGCTGCAACTGGCCACTGGAGCACTGGAGCTCCAGAGCCTGCTTGGGATGGTGCTTTCCTCCAGGGATCCTGAGCAAGCAAGTTCAGGTAAAGACAGACCCCCTCTTTCCTGGGGGGCAAAACCTGCTCCAATCCTGATGAAAGCTGTCCTCAGAGTGCTCCATGAGCCTGTGGGCACAGGCACTCTCACAGTATGGCAGCCACCCGGGAGCTGCAGACCTCCAGAGGCCCTGTGGGTCCCAGGCACAGATCCCTGGGTTATTACTGGGCAGCAGGTCTCCACAGGAGGCCACTGCTCTCACTCCCAGCCACAAAGACCTTCTGTGGGTGGCCTCCAGGATGGTGACCTGCTGCTGTCACTCAGATGAGATGAGAAAGGAGCGCTCAGGAGACCATATGGGAGGAGCCTGCCTGCCACGGTGGGGAGCTGGCTCACCCTGCTGAGGCCCTGAAGGATGCGATGCAGCTCCAGGGAAAGAAGGAAGCAGACACGGTGGCCTGGGGAAGCCAGTGAGAATGTGAGCTGTAGGTGACATGCCCTGACCTGGGGTCTGTGACACAGGCTGTGGGAAAGTGACCAGACACACTCAACATGGCTCACTTTCCCACCGCTTCCCTTCTCAAGACGTTCCTGCCTGCTATTAACGAGGTGAGGTGTCACCCTCTGTCCCTAGGTTCCCTTAATGAGCCCTGAGCAAAAGCCTGGTGCCCCCTTCCTTTATGCTGCCTGTCCTTGCAGGTGGGGCTGGGTCCTGCAGAGGTGGCCTCCCACATAGCTGCCAGGGAAGGTCTCCCGGTGTCAGGCAAGAGGAGGGCTTCACAGAGAGACCAGTTTCCAGGCACCATGAGTGACAAGTCCCCACATCTGTCCTGCCTTGGGGGAGGAGGGGAGGAGATGTCAATTCCCTTTGTCACACCCTTGTGCCAGACAGAGCCTGGCACAGGGACACATGCCCTGAGAAAACTCTCAGATCACCTGTGCCTCTCACCAATGTAAGGATGTCAGCCTGGTGGCAGAGGTCCTGCATAGGCTCAGACTCAGGAGGTAGTTACAGGGAATGTGAACTATTTATGTTGTCATTGAGACAAAATGTGGCTCTGTGACGTGAGAATCATGCTCCACTTCCGATGCTGTTGGGCTGGGTGCCTTTCTGAACAGAGGCCCTTTCTGGTGCTCGTAGGCATAGCTGCACCTGAGCCAAGACACAAGCCAGGCAGGCAGGCTCCCAGGGCAAGGAGTCCAGGCTGCAGCTGCCTCTCTGCCTGCAGAGAGCATAGAAGCAGAGACTGGCTCTGAGACACAGGGTGGCTGTGAAACTGGCTGTTCTATTGCGGGGGAGGGTCCCAATGGAGGGGCACATTTAAGACTAAGAGAGCCCAGGAGCGGGATACCCTCCTGTGCCTCTGAGGTTCTGACAGGCTGCCGAAGGGCCATGCTGCCAGGCTCTGCTTCCAGCAGCTCCATGTGACCGCCACTGCCCTTCCCACCCTGCCCACCTACCAGACTCACAGGGTGGGGGCAGCTGGGAACATCCACCGGCTGTGCAGCAGGGGTGGGTGGGGGGTTCAGAGGGCCCACGTGCAATGGGGGCAGGGGCTCTGCTTGTGGGGAGACTGACTGACACCACGTATTTTAAGGCCTAAAACGGGAAAAACTACAGGTAACATGCGCAGCGGTAGCCAGGCATCTTCCACACACCTGGCTCAACCCACACAGATGCAAGCGCGTGTGGCTTACCCAGCGGTCACATGCACTCCGTTTCCAGACAAGCAGTCGGCGCGCCCCAGCTGAATCTGCACCCTCGGTGACACGCAGAGACGCGCCATTTTGCCCCCCCCCCCCACGGCTCCCACCCCCCACAGGGCACAGAGGACAGAAGGACCCTGTCCCACACGTGCCACCACGCCCCTCAGGCACCCGCTCGGTGACACCCCCGACCAGGCCCTGGTAGTGAGCACATGGGATGGAAGGGAGGCCTCCCCTCCGCGACCGCTGCGGAGGCTGCGGGTGGCAGCGGCTGGAGTGCGGTTGCCCGCGTCACTCACCCCGGCGCGGTTCCCCGCGGCGCCCTGTGCTGCCGCTCAGCGGAAGGCCAGCAGGAAGATCAGCACGACGTTGATGAGGACCAGGAGCGCCAGCACGGTGGAGACCACCACGCGCTGGGCGCCGGGGGGCAGGTTGCAGCGCAGCAAGGCGCGCAGAGCGTTCCCGGGCGCCACGGGGCCGCGCCGGGGCTGCGGGGCCCTAGCCATGGCGCCCGGCCTCCCACTCTGTGCGGCCCCGAGATCCCGCCGCGCAGGGCCAAGCCGAAGGCTCGCAGCGCCCGGGGAAGAGGTGGAGCGCCTGCGCTCGTGGGCCTGGGGCTCCTCCTGCGCAGCCGGCGCCGTGCACGCGGCGCCTCCCAAGCCCGGAGCCCTGGCAACCCTAGCAGTCAAGCCAGCTGTGCGGGCGGGGGCGGCGGGCTCGGAGGCTCGGAGGGGCTGCGGTGGCTGGGCGTGCGCTGCGCTCCGCCCTTGGCACCTCCTTGGAAAGGGTCGGGAACCTCCACGCCCGCACAGCGATACTGGCCCTCGGCTGGCCAGTGACACAGATGGCCACGGGGGTGCTCGGGGATGCCCGGGGACCTCACGGTTTCAGGCATACGGAGGCCAAAACGCCTAGCACCAGCGCTTTCAGGAGAGATGGGCCAGGGACTCTGATTTCTTACAAGGGTTGCTCTCAGGCCCCCACTTCACAGATGAGTAAACGTGGCTCTGAAATGTCAGGGAATCTTCTCAGCCATAAAATCGCGCAGGTATGCAGGGATGGTGGAGGCAGGATTTAAACTCAGGCGCGATCCGCGCTGAGGGGCCGCTCTTTACTGACTGCATTATGTTCCTTTGGAAGTCAGGCGTCAGGGCTTCCTCTGCCTCCACTAGACACAGCCTGCAACCTTAACCCTAACACAGCCTGAAACCTAACCCTGTAGGTTTCAAAGCTCTTGTGCAAGAACTCTCATTCTATCCCTGAGAATGACAGCCCAGGCACAGTGTGTCCTTCTGAGAGGTGAAAAGACTGCAGGGAGGAGGGCTAAACAAACACTCCGCTCAGGTTCGGGCAGAGATTTCAGGGCAACAAGCTCAGTGCTTTGAATCCAGGAGCAACAAGAGCCCCTGGAGGGCAGAGAGGGGCACATAGAGGAAATGTGTGCAGAGACGGTATTCCCACGGGAGTGATTTAACATGCTCTGATCTCTGTGTATGTGGCCAACTCTTGGCCACCCCTTGCAAGGATAGGTGAGTGCACCCTGAATGTCACCATCCTGTTGAAGACTATAAAGCAGAGTGGATGCCACGTGTGCCAGCATGTGTGTATGCAAGGGGACCTGTATGTGCATGTGCATAGGTACCTCTGTGTAAGGGGATACCTGTGTGCACACATATGGGCATCTGTGTGTGGGGTTTCCATGCATGTGAGTGTGTACACATGTGGGTGCCCGTGTGTGTGTGCAGAGGAGGGTCAGGGATATGTCCAGAGAGGCTGTGTGCCTCCCTCACATCTGAAGGTTCAGCCTGGGCCTATCTGTCTGGAGTACTGCTCATGCCCAGCTCTTCAGAAAACTCCAGTTTCAAGGTTTGCTCCCCCAAGCTCTCAGGAGAATTAGGGGGATCAGAAGACATTTAAAGTCTCGCTGACACCCCTACATCCCAGCACTCCTCTGGTAAGATGGTGATGTGCCCTCTCACGGGGTGTGGCTCGGAACCCCTGACGTGTGGATGCTTCACTGTGCACCTGTGGCCTCTCAAAAGCAGGCCACACAGGAGGGTACATGTCCTCATGGCCCTGGGCACAGTGGTTTGGTGAGCCTGATGGCCAGTGCAGGCACAGAGTGCTGGAGGGTGTACAGCACCCTGCTCGGCCACTGGGCCAGGCCCTGGTTGGTTCTTCAGCCCCGGATGGGTCCTGGACACATCCTCTGCCCCATGCACAGCAAGGCACCCTGGGGAGGGCTAAAGGTGGCTGAAGCACCTCTGACTAAAGACTGAGCGGGGTCTTCCTCCCTGCCCAGGGGTCCCCAGCCTGTGTATCCCAGAGAGCTGGCTTTATGGCAGGAATGGCAGTGCTAACTTCCAATGTGAGTTTCATGACCAAAAACATAATGGAAAAGCTTGAAGGCAGACAGGGTGTGGTGGCTCACACCTGTAATCCCAGCACCTTGTGAGGCCAAGGCAGGTGGATCACTTGAGCTCAGGAGTTCGAGACTAGCCTGGGTTTCACATAGTGAAACCTCATCTCTACAAAAGATACAAATATTAGCCAGATGTGGTGGTGTGTGCCTTGGTCCTAGCTACGAGGGAGGCTGAGGTGGGAGGATCACTTGAGCCTGGGAGGTGGAGGCTGCAATGAGCCAAGATTGTGCCTCTGCACTCCATCCAGCCTGGGTGACAGAGTGAGACCCCGTCTCAAAGAAAAAAAAAGAAAAAAGAAAAGAAACCTTGAAGGCAAACGTCTAGGCCCTTGAGGGGTTGGACAGACGGCTTCCACCAGGGAGGGGAGTAGAGCAGCTAGGCTGGTGACGGACTGATGTAGGAGCAGAAGGGAGACAGAAGTGTCTGGGGCAGATGAGGGCTGAGCCCCCAGTGCTGTGGCCTTGGGAGGACAAAGGGAAGAGGAAACCCACTTTAGGGGAGCTGGCCACCAGGTGACCTTGCAGCCCTGCGTCAAAGTGGCAGCAGTGGTGCCAAGCCACTGTGAGCTGCTCCTGCCCTGTCTCTTGGAGCCCCTCAGCCCAGCTTGTTGTCCAGCCTAGTGAGGATGAGCACCAGGTGTCTGGGGCACTGCCAGGCATCAGCCTCCTCCCCAGAGTCTGAGGGGCTGAGGAGGGGGAACAAGAGCCAGGTCAGGCCTAGGGAGGGATGTCTGGCCTCACGGGAACTCAGGGAAGACAAAGACTCCTGGGGTGAGTCACACGAACTCTGAGGGGTGGCCAACAGCTGGCCTCATGTCCTGAAGCGCAGCCCAAGAGGGCCAAGGAGAGAGGGTGAGGAACTGGGCAGACAGGCCCAGGCCTGGGCTATGGCCTTGGAGGTGGGCCCTAGAGGGGTCAGTGCTGGAAGAAGAGAGGACACTCCTGGGCACTGAAGACAGTCAGTGTCTGTGTTCCTTCATTTGTCTGGCAGGGACTGGACACTCACGAGGGGCAGAGCACAGGTAATACAAGAATGCAGAAGGAACGAGACATTGTGCCCCTTTGCACGTTCCTCAGGGCCGTATGGAAAAATGCAGGGGGCACACAGACACAGCCTGCGGGCAGCTCTCTGCAGGCAGGACCTTGGCTTCTGCAGAGCTCCATCCTAGGGCCTGCTACCTCCCTGACACAAGCACTCAGTACACACCTGTTACACATACGCAACACACCCACACCCTTTATGCACAGCACGGGCACACACATCTGTGTCCAGGCATAGAACTGACTCCTCATGAACCTGGAATGCAAACTGCCTGGCTGCTCTCCCCCAGGTCAGCTGCTCTCCTCCAGGTCGGCCGCTCTCCCCCAGGTTGGCCGCTCTCTAGGCCAGAGGGTTTGCATTTGTTCTGATGAGGAAACTGTAAGGTGGTTTCCGCTTTCGAGGGAGGCATCTGGCTAAATTGTGACCCTTGCTTGTTGGTGCTGATGTCAAACAGCTTAGCTATTCCTCAGCCAGAGCATGTCAGAATGAACAACTTGTCAAGGAACTGAGAGTCCCAAAAGATAAGAAAGGGTCACAATTCACCCCCACATGTTCTTAGAAAACAGAAGTGAATATGTGATTTTAGGGCAAGCCAAATATTATTTAGTGTGGGCTTTTCTGTGACACCTGCTGCTTTGCTCATCTCAGGTATGAAAGTTATGCTGACCCCCAGCAAAATTTCTGGCTGAGCCCTCGGGAGTGCTGCCCCGAAGGCCCAGAACTAGCGGGACAATTACCTCTTATCTTTTCAGTTTCCGATGAGTGAGTCCATTTAATGCTTCTGCCGGCTCCTAACAGGCAGGCACCACCTTTCCTAAGTCAGCAGTGCAAGCCGGGCACGGCGAGGGCTCTGGTGCCACATTCGCCCACACAACACAGGGACCACCTTGCTGCCGAGCAGTGCTGGACCCAGCGAGGCCTTTATGCCCGGGCCTGCCCTGCTTGCTGCCTCTCTCAGGGTGGCCTTCTACATCAGGATCTGGAAGCACTCATGGCCTTCATGAGGAGGGTGGGTGCCATCTGGGACAGCAGCCAGTCTCCCCAGCGCCAGCGTGCGGCATCGCTGGAGACGGGCTCCTTCTGTCAGATTTCCTTCTCTTCTCATCCTTCTCATCCACGGTTCTCTTCTGTGATGTGCGTGTCCTTCTCCCTGGTGACATGATCCCTGAACGTAAGGCATAGCAGCAACACCCCGTCTGCTCAGTAACTGCCAATGCCAGGAGAGACCTCTGAACCAAACAGGAGTCAGACCCTTGAGGCAGCCCAGACAGGGGCTCACACAACAGGAGTCAGACCCTCGAGGCAGCCCAGACAGGGGCTCACACAACAGGAGTCAGACCCTCGAGGCAGCCCAGACAGGCGTTTACACAACAGGAGTCAGATCCTCGAAGCAGCCCAGACAGGCGCTTACACATCCAAATCTACATTGCCTGCCTTCCCTCATGAAGATGACAGAACCTCGTTTCATTTTTTCCAGAGAATTCCTGGCTCTTGGTCTTCCTCGGCCAAAGCATCTTAGAATGAACAACTTGTCAAGACACTCAGAGCCCGAAAAGATACCTCCTCACCAGCGGCAAGATGTGACAGTCCATAATTTCACCCTCAGGTAGGAGACACACAACTGTGAAACGCAGACCCAAGGTCAGTGCAGCCACAAGCCAGTCATGGAGCCTCCGCCTCTAGAGTCCTTGAGGGCTTTGGTTGCAATGATCATCCTCAAGCTTGGAGACGTACTTGGGTGCCCACCCGTGCTGGGTGTGTTCAGTCAGTTGCCATCAGCCCTGCACAGCCTCATGCCATCCAGTGTCACAGCCACGTGAACCAGCTCAAATGGTCACTGCTCAGTGCTCCAGGTCCCACATCCGACAGGCCCCCCTTGGGGTCCTCTTGCTGGGACTGAGCCCCAAGGTGAAGGAGACAGCCTTGGTCTTCTAAAAACACCAGAACTATTACCCGTGAATTCAATTCTGCTTCAGGTGACATGACTTCAGAATACCTTCTATCCCAAATAGCTTATGAGAGGCACTTAAAGAGAAAGGATTTTTTTTTTTTGTTGGAAAAGCTTATTTGCTTGTTTATTCTCTATGCATCATGGATTTTGACTGGTGCATTATTTAATGATCCTTTTGTTTATTTATTTTTGAGATGAGTGTCGTTCTGTCACCCAGGCTGGAGTACAGTGGCATGGTCTTGGCTCACTGCAACCTCCACCTCCCAGGTTTAAGAGATTCACCTGCCTCAGCCTCCCGAGTAGCTAGGATTACAGGGGCCTGCCACTATGCTCGATTAATCTTTATACTTTTAGTAGAGATGGGGTTTCACCATGTTGGCCAGGCTGGTCTCAAAGTCCTTGACCTCAGGTGATCCACCCACCCTAGCCTTCCAAAGTGCTGGAATTGCAGGTGTGAGCAACTGTGCCCAGCCTTAATGACTGTTTTAAATCATCATCTAGAGCTGGGCCTCTAGGTGGAGTTCATGGGCCTTTGACTCCATTCCTTTGTCCAGTGGGTAAAGAGGACGCCACCCTCCTCACTGGCTTCTGAGAAGCCTCCCGGCTCATTTATTCACAGAAAAGCCAACTCTTCCCAAACTGATCCCTTCTTAAGGAAAAACCTGAGTGCTATAAGATCCTGCGTAGTCAGAGTCTGGTTTTAATGAAGCAGAAACACACCAGTACCTTCTGACTGGAGAACACAGAGTTTGCTATGGGCACGTGCTTGTGCTGGTCATCTGGTTACACTTCCATGATGTTCAACAACCCCCTCTAGTTAAGTAAAAGAGGCTGAGAAAGTAGGAGGGTGAGTGAGAAAGAGAGGAGCGTCAAAGCATCACGATTCCTCTCTCATGGGGAATGCGAAGGAAGAAGAACTCGGATGGGAACCAGTTTTGCCTGGATGAGGATTCTCACGGATTTCTTCTGCTTCAGTAGGAAGAGCAAATACACAGCAACTCACACGCAGCTGTCATAGCAACAGCAATACTTCTGAATTCCTGGTGTCAACAGGAGAGAAAATACTTTTCCCTCGCCTTGTCCCCAGCCTGCCCAGATGGATGGTTGGAGGGTCAGGGGCTGAAGTAACTGGAGAAGCCCTGGCCTCCCTTCTACTAAGTAGAGCTCCTCCAGCTGAGATAGTGCTTGGCAGCTGCTCACTAGGACAGCCTCATGAGGCGGACCAGCATGCCCACATTGCATCTGCTCTGTGGCCCCCAGCAGGGCACATGGAGTCCTGTGTTGGACAAACCCTGCTCTTGACACCATATCCCAAAATGGGGACCACAGGCTGAAAGTGTGCTGAATGCAGCCAGCACCACCAGCATCCTCATGGAACATGGACTGTGGGCATCTGGCCCACATGAGGGTGCTGGAGTCCCCTGACAGTCAGGGCCACAGCTGCCCAGCCTGTCCCTCCCTCTGCCCACGCAGCCCTGACCCTACCTCATTGATAGCCAGCTGCTCACCACCCCCTCCAGAGTGGCTGTAGTGGTGGCTGGAGCCGTGCAGGTCATCATACAGGTCCTCCTGGCTCCCCACTTCATCAGCGCGGACAGCTGTGTCCAGAGCTCCATCAGGCATGGCTGGAAGGAGAGACAGCAGCTGGGCAAAGTGGGGTGGGCTGGGAAGGGCTGAGGGGGAGAACATGCAGAGAAGGAGCCCAATGCGTTCAAGACAAATGCTCCTTCTGCAAGGGGAGGGTGCAGGTTGCAGGGCTAGGTTCTCAAAACATCCTTGCCGCAAACATGTGGCCTGGGTGAAAGGATGCATCATCCCATTCTACAGCAACTTGGCTGACAAGGAAACACAAGTATTCACCATCACACAGCTCAAGAGCCTCTTAAGTTGTATTCAACGACAAATCATTTTCCAGTGTGCTGGCTATAGTATTAGGCCCTTAGGAAAAATGTTAACATTTTGTTATGCAATATATATGTGTGTATTCAAAGAAAATATACAGTTACATACATACAAATATGGTTTGAAATTTAATACAATCAACAGTCCTGGTACCCATCACTCTGCTTAAGAAAAACACCAGAAACTTGACCTGCCACATCCTGTATACCCTGCTTTAGTCCCATTCCCATCCCCCTCCTGTAGAGATATCCAAGAATTAGAACTTTCAATAAGTAATTCCCATGCCTTTGTCTTAGCATTTAGTTCTGTCAGTTACGCCGGGTTTTGACCTTGTCTAAAGGCAGCCTGCAAATCCACTCTTCTCTGGCTGGTTTCCTTTACTCAACTGTGTGTGTAGCTGTGATGATTTCATTTTCACTGCTGTACAGTCTTGTGTTGTATGATCTTTCACATTTTGTATGAGTCTTTCACAGATACCTCTGTCACTCAGATGTGCCACAGCTATCTCCTCCCAGTTTGTGGCTTGTTATTATTATTATCATATAATAATGCAACCTCTGTCTCACTGCAACTTCTGTCTCCCAGGTTCAAGTGATTTTCCTGCCTCAGCCACCTGAGTAGCTGGGATTACAGGTGCACGCCACCATGCCTGGCTAATTTTTTGTATCTTTAGTAGAGACAGGGTTTGACCATGTTGGCCAGGCTGGTCTTGAACTTCTGATCTTGTAATCCGCCCACCTCAGCCTCCCAAAGTGCTGGGATTACAGGCGGCATGAAACACCATGCCGGGCTGTGGCTTGTTATTATTTTTAAGGTACCTTTTGATGAACAGAAGTCCTTAATTTTAATATAGACAAATCCGTCAATCTAGTCCTATTTGGTGTATGTTTTCTGTGTCTAGGAAATTCTTTCCAGCCTCAGAGTCATAAAGTATTCTCTGTTATCCTTTCATGTTTTATAGCTTTTCTTTTGACATGTATGCTGTTAATCCACCTGGAAATGATTTTTGTGTATGGAGTGAGGTTGGAATCCAATTTCTTTCTTCTCTAAGGATAATCAGTGGTCTCAGCACCATTCATGAAACGGGCAGTCCTTTCCATGGACCTACAGTGTCTTCTCTGTCCTTGAGTTGAGTTTATATATAGCTGGGTCTGCCTCTGGACTCTCTTTTTGCAGGAGGCAGAATAATGGTCTCCAAAAGACGAAAAGAGCCAGAGCCTGTGAATATGTTATGTTACCTGAGGAATTAAAGGGGAATTAAGGTTGCAGATAGAACCACGGCTGCTAACCAGTTGACCTCAAAATGGGAAGATTATCTTGGATTATCCACATGGGCCCAATGTAAGTGAAAATATGAACTTTGAAGACTCACTTCAAGCATTTCCTACTCTGTGCGAGACCCATCCATGCCTCTATCTTACTCTCAGAAAGCGTGAACAGACAACTGTCACAGCAGGAAACACATCCCTGTATACTTGTTGGCCCGACTCCCCACAACTAGACACTGAGCTCCTTAAAGGCAGGAGCCATGCCTTACTCATTAATGTCAACATTTAGGAAATGTTAAGTAAATAAATGAGTAAACAGATGGAAGAAACAGATAAATGGTGACAAAACAGATGAAGAAACCAATGGAAGAATGAACACTTGAACAGATGGAAGCTGGGAGGATGACTGGGGTGGCAAATGGCACATTCCTCAAAGGTGGAGCCCAAAGGCCTGGCAGAGCCAATGTCAGGAACACAGTTAAAGCTCCACATGTGCCCCCAGAACTGACCTGGGAAACCCCCTGGGATATGGTTTGGATTTGTGTCCCTGCCCAAATCTCATGTTGAATTGAAGGTGTAGCATGGTGGGAGGTGATTGCATCATGGGCAGATTTCCCCCTCTGTTGTTCTCATGATAGTGAATGAGTTCTCATGAGATCTGATCGTTTAAAACTGTGTGGCACTTCTCTCTTCACTCACTCTCTCTCCTGCTGCCATGTGGAGAAGGTGCTTTCTTCCCATTCCCCTTTTGCCATGACTGTAAGTTTCCTGAGGCTTCCGCATCTTGCTTCCTGTGGTGCCTGTAGAACTGTGAGCCAATTAAACCTCTTTTCTTCATAGATTGCCCAGTCTCAGATGTTTTTTTATAGCACCATGAGAATGGACTAACACACTCTGTCTCCCACTTGTGGGCAGTGGCCTAAGCCCAGCTTGTGAGAAGGAGCTAAGGGCCTGCTCCTAACCTTGTACACAGCCACAAGTCCCTAGGAACACTCATGATTTTTATTTCATTTGTGTTTAAAAACTTTTATTATGGAACGTTTCAAAAGTGCACAGAAGGACAGAAAATAGCATAAGGAATCTTGTCTATTCATTGTCCAGCGTCAACAGTTCTCAACATGTGGCCACTTTTGTTTCATCTAACTCTCCTCCCCACTGGACGGTTTTTAGGGAAAATCCAAGACAATATAATTTCATCAGTAAACACCATAGTGTAAGTTTCTGAAACATAAGGATCCCATCTTTCTTTCTTTAAAAACATACCATGATATACATCTAAAACAAACTGAAATCCATCCAAAGTTGTCAAATTGCCATACCTTCTCCCCTAGGGCCTTAAAATATTTATTTTGAAATGGTTGTAGAGTCACAGGGCATATTACTATAGTATAGAGGGCACTGTGCACTCTCCACCCAGCTTCTGTCCATGGTCTAGCTTTCACAAGTCCAGTGTGATCTCACAGCCAAGAACCTGACATTCGTGCAATGTGTGTGCATAGGCATATGGCACTGTATCACCAATGCACGTCTGCACAGCCACAAGCAACCTGAATGCAGGCTTTTGAGGTTGGCTTTTTCACTCAGCCAAATGCCCTGCACTCTATCCCAGCTGCTATGTGTATTAATACTGTTAATAGACAGTTATTAATACTGCTATGTGTATTAATTTTTACTGTTGAGTCATATTCCATGGCACTCCATTCCCCCGTTGCTTTAACTATTCACCTGTTTAAGGATATGTGGGTTGTTTCCAACTATTGCCTATTATGAACACGGCTGCTATGATCATTCATGAGCACAAGTTTGTGTGAACATTAGTTTTTATTTCTCTGATATAAATGCCCAGGAGTGCAATTACTGGGTGATAGATGATTTAGTTTTGAGGAAACTGCCGAACTATTTTCCAGAGTGGCTGTGCCATTTTACGTTCCTATTACTCTCAATGTCTAAGAGTTCTAGTTTCTCTGAATCTTCAGCATTCTAATATTTTACGCATTCTAATAGGTGTGTAGTGTTATCTCATCGTGGTGTCAATTTTCATTTCCTGAAAGGCTGATGATGTTGAATATCTTTTCATGTGCTTACTTGCCACATATCCTCTTTGGTGAAATATCTCTTTAGGTCTTTTGCCTATTTTTTTTTTAAGAGGTGGGATCTTGCTTTGTTGCCTAGACTGGAGTGCAGTGGCATGATCCTGGCTCACTGCAGCCTCAAACTCCTGGGCTCAAGGGATCCTCTCACGTCAACCTCCTGAGTAGCTGGCACTACAGGTGTACACCACCACACTCAGCTAATTTTTTGAAGAAATTTTCGTAGAGACAGTGTCTCACTATGTTGCCTAGGCTAGTCTTGAGCTCCTGGCCTCAAGTGATCCTCCTGCCTCAGCCTGCCAAAGTGCTGAGATGGCAAGTGTAAGCCACCATGCCTTGCCCACTTTTGCCTATTTTCTAAGTGGTGTTATAATGTTGAACTTGAAAGTTCTTTTTTTTTGAGACAGGGTCTTGCCAGTTTGCCCAGGCTGGTCCTGAACTCCTGGGCAGTGATCCTTCACCTCCTGGAAGTGATCACTCCTTGAAGTGATCCTTCCACCTCAGATCCAAAGTAGCTGCGATCACAGGCTCGTGCCACCACATCTGGCTCTGAGAGTTCTTTACATATTCTAGATATGAGTTATTTGTCAGATATGAGGTTTGCAAGTATTTTATTTCCATCTGTAACTTATCTTTTCATTATCTTAACAAGGGTTTCATAGTGCAAAAGTTTGAAATTGCTACAATGTTCAATTTCTCAACTTTTCCTTTTATGAGTCATGCTTTTGGTGTCATGTCTAAGAACTCCTAACCCTGGTTCTCAAGGATTTTCTCCTAAAGGTTTTACATGGAAATATATCATTCAGTTTGTGTGTGTGTGTGTGTGTGTGTGTGTGTGTGTGTGTGTTTTCTGTATGATGTGTGAGGCTTAGGTCAAGTTCATTTTCATCACCTATGGATAGTCTACTGGTATTATTTCTGGCATCATTTGTGAAAAGAACATCTTTTCTCCACCGGATTGCTTTTGTAACTTTTTAAAAAGTCAAAAGTTTTGATGAGCAAAGTAAGAACACTACCACCTGTTTTACAGAAATAAAAATGATTATAAAAGTATACGATGAACTGTTGTACACTAACAAATTAAATAAAACTAGATAAAGTGGAAAATTTCTAGAAACACATAATCTACCAAAACAGATTCAAGAAGAAACAGGAAATCAGAATAGATCTATAATTGGTAGCAAA